AATTTCAATTTGAAGGTGTCAAACGTTGATGGCGTAAAATGTGATTCAGTTCGGAATTATTCATTGTCTGTTGTGTTTTTATAGCTCGGGAAAGATTTTATCGAGTACTCATTTGTGTTTCTCCCACAACATAGAATGTGAACATCACAGCCCTCCTCGATTAAAACGTGTAACACGTGGTGCTCTGTCGTTTTCAACAGATAAATTAACATGCCGATTTTAATCGCATGTAACACAAATGAGTAAACTATCAAGATGGCTGCCCCACACTGTGATTGCGCATTTGTTCGCTAAACGAGGGAGTAAATATACAGACACTGTTCACAGCTGAAACAAAGACGAGCTGAGGCTGAGTTACTGAAGTAAATTAGTAAATCAGGCATTATTGTGAAGAAAAACCTGCGCACTAACCTTTGAAAATATTTCACTGCAGCAACCGTATCTGGCCCAAAGGAAGGTAGAGCACAGATTTACTCTGTCAGCCAAATTATCTCACTCCTGAAAATCACAGTTACAAGGGCCGAGTTTGCGCCAAGAAGATGTCCTTTCCCTTAGGACTTAAGGAAGGAAGGGAAAGATGGTAGACCTGGTTATTTGCAAGTCCAGTTTAGGTGGGAAAACAGTTTCAACATGCTGCGACTAGGAAGTAAACTACACACTGACGAAATAAGATATCTACGCAGGCGTCGTCTGAAGTGTCAGTGAAGTGCTATTTTGTCTGAAGCCTTTGGCCTGTTTGTTGTCTTGGTAAACGATCTTGTTGTCATAGCATGATCACGCAACTGGCGCAAATTAACAAAAGATTGTTTCTCTTGCGGGTTTTCTTTGATCTGTAAAACTCATAGGCGTATTAGTTCTACAAAACGCAAATAAAAGAAAAAGGTGGAATGAAGAATTCCGTCTGCAATTTTCTCACTGAATCTCATGAAGTAAAAAATGAAATCAGCTCAGTTACCACAACAATTGAAGGGGGTGATGGACGGTACAAATGCCAGCTGTCAGTTAAGTAAGGTAAGTAAGTGACCTTTATTTAAACACGATAAGTAATTAAGCTTGCAGCTCGTGGGGTCGTGTGTAAATATACAATAAATAATAATTACAAAATAAGAATTAAAAAAATTACAATGTAAGATCTAATCTAGTTTAAATAAAAATTTGCAGCTAATAATAATAAACCTAATTATTAACATTATGTGACTACTGTAAACGTATACCAATGGGCAGTCTAGTCATCTTCTGCAGTATATATTCGCACAGCTAATGCGTCTATGTCCCTGACCAAAGTAAGATTATTGATCATCTAGCTTAAAGAAGCTGTTTACACTGTTCGCCATTCGGCATCCAATCGGTAAAAAATTCCACGGAATTGTACCTCTGTAAGATATGGAGGATTTCTTGATATCTGATTTAAAATGAGGGATTTCCAGCTTAAGGCTGTTTCTTAAATTATAGGAGGATTGTAATTTTGCAATATGTGCAGTCATACAGGGTGGTGAATCACTGTAGTACATTTTATAAATTAGTTTCAGAATGGAGTTCCCATTTGGCCCTGGTGAGGGCTTCAACTGATGGTAGGTCCTTAGGAAAGTTAAAAATAACCCTTGCTGCTCTGCAGTGTAGTCTTTCGAGTGAGTCGAAGTCATCTGAGCGATTTTGACTTTTCAAGCAAAACCGTTGCATTCCCATACAAACCTTTATAAATTCAAACCGTTGTAACACAACATCTCCATATGCTTTAAGGCTAGATTCAAGTTTCGCGTGGTCAAATTCGGTCGTTATGTAATAGTATACGACATATGTCACGTTACGCTGAACGCTCGCTTTAAAAGTGAAAAAAAAAAACCTCCTCGCAGAGAGAGCTCGGGTCGCTTGTGTTTAGCCGTGCACTTTGTTGCATTGTCGATTTCATCTGTTCCAACCCTTTCTAGCTCTTGACACGTAATCTATGACTTGCGTGATGCACGGAACGTATACGTACAAACCAAAGTAGCAAGGCCCATTTCGGCGATGTCACGCAATATTTCACAATTATTCGTGTTTTCCATTTGACAAAAACCACCTCCAAAGGTTACTTTATCATTCCGAACTCAAAAGATACGCGATACTTCATACGAATTGGTTGCAAATTCAATGCAGGCCAGATGATATTGGGAATATTTGGGATCCCATATTTAAATGATTCGCATGTTTAATTAATTTGGCATGAAAATCGAGCAGTATGGCTAATTTTTTGTTTGAATAAGGAAAAAAATGGAAAAGCTCAGGTTGACATCGTCGAAGCTTTCTCTTGCCCGGCGCTACTCATTTGAAATGCACGTGACGAAAGGAAACGGAGGCTCTGGGGACGAGATAGAAAAGTCCATTTCAGCGGCTCGATATTTCTGCGCACGCGTTTTGTATGGCGGTAACATCCCGGTAACATAGCAACGCAGCAGTGAAAACAGCTTTCCAAGAGCACATCGACAAGAACGTGAAACAGATTGCTGTTTATGGTAGCAGCTTGCGTTAAATAGTTGAAAATGAGTTCAAGACAGGTTCAGCAAGGTGTGTTTCAAGTATGTGTAGAACTTGGCGAGTTTTAATGCTAAAACAACTCGTAAAATGTCATTTTTGTTCCTTGCAGTCTTTGAAAGGTATCAAAAAGAGAGGACAGCTTTCGTCCAGAAAGTCGCGGATCTCGCAAATCATTCGGAGAACATCGAAACGCTACAGAATGGAGGTAAAAGCTATTTACGTGAACAAGCATTTCACGCAATTTAGGCATCTAAAGAAACATTTTCTGTCAGTAAATGCTATCTGATTATGTTGATTAAGTTTACGATAGTTCAAAACTAATAATCGATCAGTTGTTCCAATAGATGAAGCTTACCTTTCCATACAGAAATCACAGTTTAAAGTTCAAACTGTGTGGAAGGATCGCAATATAATCTGGGAAAATAATTCTTAATACGTTCAATCTAATTGACAGAATTTAATTATTATATTCGCTGTTATATTTAGGCGATCATCATCTTGGTTAAAGCGATTGTTTTTTCCTTTAATGTAATGTGATCAATTATACATGTTAATGTTTGATTTCAAGGTGCAATGGCTCTTTTAAGACCTCTTCTACTTGATGTTGTACCCAGTATTCAACAAACAGCCGCCTTGGCTCTTGGCAGACTGGCTAATTACAATGAAGACCTTGCAGAGGCTGTTGTGAAAGGAGACATTCTACCACAGCTTGTGTACTCTCTGGCAGAGCAAAATGTAATGTTCTCATAAGCTTACAGCTTTTAGTAGGAAATCGTGTTATAACTGTTTTACATAACAGTTAGAGGGGCTTCTATTTGACTGGCAACTATGTAGCCATCCTCAGAAAGGTTCCATTGTTGTCAACTATATTTCCAGATATTCAAGCTTGCATGTATCTCTCCATGTAAGGCTAGAAATGTAAAGCTAGATGTAAAGAGATGTCTGGAAATATTTTAAAGTGCCTGCACAAACAGAAAACAAACTGCAAACTTCAAAGTTGGACTCAAATTTACCTTAACTTGTTCCGATAGAAAACGAAGAATCCAAACTGAAGAATAAGTTGCAATCGTATAGCAGTAGATTTTATTTGATCTGAAATCAAAATTGTACAGACATAGTCTATTTTCTAAATGTAATCAAGTAATTAATAAGTGAAAAAGGAAAAAAGTGGAAAATATGCCTGCGACAACCAAACATTGATAAAAGCAAAACTATGCGGTTCGTAATACAAACTTAAGCACAGATCACTGATGCTTTATAGGTAACAAAACTCAAAGACTAAATGAACAATTCAAGGGTAATTTTCCATTCACTTACTTCTATGGCGAGTTTTCTTAAATGTCCTTGAATGTGTTAAGCATAACTCTGGGCAGCAGCTAAAACGGTAAACACTCCTTTCAGTATGGCTGTCGGTAAAAATCTGAATGAAACCAAACTACTCAATCAAATTTGAACAAAATGTGCACTCTTGCAGTTCCTTTCAGGCGTGTGCGGTTTTCGATTTTGCTGTTTTTGTTAGCTAAACTAAATTCTTCACATAGTACATTGACTATCTTAACATAACTAAATTTATTAGTGATTTTATTGGGAGTGTCCCTGATTAGTCGGCCTCCGGGCTGACTAGAAGTTTTAGATACTTAAATAAAGTTTATTGATTGATTGATTGATTGATTTGTTTGATTTGAGAGTATTCAATAACTTGACAAATTCTGTTGATGAGTACAATTGTACAACCCATTCAACAAAATCTCAAATTGGGATAACTTTTTATGCTGGCAAACCCCTTGTTTGCTGGTCTTTAAAGCAATTTCATTCTTTATACTAATATTTTCTATTACTATTACTAATTTGTTTAAGCTTGTAAGAAACTATGAACCAATAACAATCTTTTCTCGTCCACAGCGGTTTTACAAGAAGGCTGCTGCATTTGTTCTTCGAGCTGTAGCAAAACACTCTCCCCAGCTGGCACAGGTATCATAAGTCAATGGCTGTTCTGTTTACATGTGTGTAACCCTATGTTAATTTATTGATCCATAAAAATTATG